CCTGACTGGCTCTGTGCCATCTGGCCAAGACCAACTACCCAAATCTGCCTTAGCAAGTAACTCTGCCCCTGCTGAGGAGGCTGTTTTCAATAACCCTTTCCTGAGACGATACTGTGGCCTCTCAGAGCTCATATTTTTATGGCAGTTCTTTTGGATTCTAGGATTTACTGAGGGCAAGGACCATTTTCAAACAACCCCCTCCCACATACACACATCTCACAAATAAATTACCTACCACAGTATCTGGCATATAAAAGGAGAACAATTCATATTTATTGTATGTACTGTCTGTCTAAATACCATACACTATCCTGGGGTTGTGAATTGGGCAGCAGAATCTGGGTGCCAGTGCCAGCCCTCCTAGCTAGTGGGACACACTCTGCTCAGTCTCCTTTTAAGATATGCCTCCACGGAGGCTCGCCTGCCTTCAAAAGTGAGCTGTTTTTTTTTGCAGACCAATCTGCTCAAGTCATACTCCATCGCCATCAGTCAATTCCTAAAACTTATTTTCAAGTTTGAGCTTTAATGTAATCCTTGTCCCGAAAACTCTTCTTCTGGCTCCATCTCCTAGCTCCCTAAATCTTTTGTTAGACCTTTTACTGGATGGTCCAATTCAGGAAGTAGGAAAAACCTGATATTGAAGGAATTTGGAAACAAAACAGGAAGAATGGACGGTGAGAAATTTATTCAGCTCTCACCATTCCCAAAGAAGCTCCAACCTCCTTGCCAGTCCTTGGTACTGAGGCCAGTCACAGAGAGGGGCTGTGCAGAGGTGACCTTCTGGCATAGGGAGCCCCATTCCTCATTCTGTGGCACGGCAGGTAGGTCAGAAGGTAGCATCTGGGCCACTGTTACCTTCTGGCCGCTGCCTTGAATTCTCTTCTTTACTCTCCTTTCAATGAGAGAGACCAGAGTGTGGATCCGCCTAGGGCTTCAAGGCCCTAAAAGCATCTAGAGTATTAAATGGGTGCCGGGTAATTGGAAAGAGCAGAGAAGGGAGATATAGTGTTACCAGTCCTGATCAGTGGCTGAGTGTGCCTGTGAGCACAGAGAAAAGACGACCCTCTCCGGTGTTTCTCCTGCCCCATCATTTCTCCCTGGAGATCAGCAGGGCTGTCCCCGGTGACTCAGAGTTGCCCGGGGTCATTTGCAGTCCCGTCCCCATCCTCCTTGGATAGCCCGCTCCTGCATCCCAGCTCCGCACGTTCCGCCACGTCCCCAGCCCGCGACGCTTGGGAGCATTCCCCTCCTCGGAAGGTATGGAGGTGTGAGTAGAAAACATTAATAAGCACCACGTCGCCCGCGAAAAAAGCCCTAGTAGCAAAAACAACTATATGCCCATCACAGGCGGACCTATATGCCCATCACAGGCGGAGCCCGGCTCCCAAGGTAAGTTGTTTATTCGTCGCCGTTTTGGCGATTCTCCCTGGACAGCTGCGGCAGCGACAGCAGCTGGGCCGCGGAACTCCCCGCGCTCTTCCTTCCTCCTCCCTGTCTCGGTCGCCTCTCACCCCCCCTCCCCTTCCCTCCTCTCCCGGCCTCTTCCCTTCTTGCCCTCTCGCGGGCCACGCACACACCCGGAGACACCCTCCGCACTTGGCTACTCACACTGCGGCTTAACCCAGCCGACAAGGCACAGTTGCCAAAGCGGCGCGGGTGTGTGTGCGGGGTCCAGGGGCGGAAGCCAAATGGGGCTGGAGGTGACCTGGCAGAGCCCCTTTCCTCCCAGCCGCGACCCCTGCCTATTCTCCTTTCCTAATCTCGGCCTGCCAACAACAGTGACACCTGAGCAGGGACTGGGCGGTGGAGGCGGCAGGCCCGCTGGACAGGCAGCTGGGAGAAAACAGAGCGGGGGGGCGGGGACGGTGAGGAGGAGCGGGAGGCGGGCACAACGGCGAGGCCGCCACCTGGCGGAGAGTGACGCGTGTGCTAACCAATAAGCGCTCGCAGCTCCTACGTCGGGGCGGGAG